TAAATGTTAAGGCCCCTACATGAGGTCTGCGTGTACATGTGAGGGTGGGTCAAGAAGTTGATGTTTGTGGCATAGAGCGGCCTCAAGTTAGATAGTCACCAATACTATTCTGGGGATCCTTATTCTGGGATGCTCAGCAGTATCCTTTTTTACTTGTTTTGGAACTGGTTCCTAAAATAGCATAACTAACTCAAAAATGTATACCAGTTGGCTACTGCACAGCTATGTATTAGAAGTATAGTTTACTATTCCCCGAAGCCGATTTCAATTACAAAGGCGCCTGTATTACATGCACAGAGAGCCGGTAAGAATGCATCATGAATACATATATGTTCGTGAATATGTATTTTCACACGTATACATGTATGTCCATATGTGTATCACGTAAATGTTCATATGCAGGTGTGTGCATGCAGAATGTTTCAAAGGCGAATACCTGTGCGGAAGAACAGGAAAGAAAAGTTTTGATGCTGTTACCAGCATGCAAGACAGACAGAGGTTCAGGCATAAAGAAGAGTATATGTAGGCTTTATATTTTAGTAGATGAATGAATGCGCGCGTACAAACCACGAGAGCCCAAAGAACCCATGCCCAAGCAATACCAAAGTCTTGAACATTCGCTGCCATTGTTATTGCATATGACCGTGGAAGCAGCAGCAGTCATCTTTATGCATGTTGTTTTAGCTGCTGTTGTTGTTCTTGTTGCTGTCGTTGCTGCTGCACTGGGTCCCATGTTGAAGGAAGCATCTCTGAACCGGGTCATGTGCTAAGCTGCACTAAGGACACCTACCACATCGTCGCATCTCCGGTGGACATCCTTGCCAGCTTTGAAGGCGGGGCCGCGTCAGAACGAACTAGAAGTCATTTCTCGCCGTCCTTGTTCTCGAGCCTCTTCTTTCAGGCTCTGATGGGTCAACTCGGCTTTGTATTGCGCTCCTGAGACCGCCCATGTTTGCTCCAGGACCTCATTCTTCATTCTGCAGTTCCAATAGGGCTGAGTGCGGCTACCCGCATACCTGAACCCACTCCAAACCCTAAATCCGAAGCCGTAAGTACCGCAAATGACGAACCCTAAACCCTAAACCCT